GGACGCTTAAAAGCAACGCGGCACTGAGGTCAGCTCCAGGTGCAGCAACTATCGCAGCAGGTGACAATCTTTCGATAAACCTTGGCAATAAGTACCCATTGACTGCTTAGAGAATTGAATGTCGTGTACTTGAAGTGAAGCTGAGATCCCGTATGTTATGCGTTTAATACAACCTTTAACTTCAAGAACCACCAATGTTTGGTTTTGAAACAACTTTTATGAAGCTTTCTGAAACAAAAAGTAAAGTCTTAGAGAAATAACCCTTGAATCTAAACATAACTGTCCATATGAGCCCTAACCTTTCGTGTTTAGTAGCAATTTCAATACGCAAGAATAGACAAATGAACGCGAAGAGTAGTTGCCATCACAGACATTACAGAGTTTTACTGCATTAAAGAGCGCCTGATAGGTTCGTTATTAGATGAATGAGTGCGTCGACAGGTACAGATCGTATATATTTCATGAAAACCAACATATAATGAAGAAAACAAGGGTATTTGTAACATTAGTTGCACTATTTTGTTCATATTAAAGTAAATTCAATATAGATGTGAAGAAACGAGAAAGCTCGATGAAGTCTACTTACAGCCGGCAGGGACCGAAATTGCGATCTTCGAATAAAGCGCCCGATTCGTTAACCGATTCAGCCGTCGGGATTTTCGTCCTCCATCTAAATTACACGGTATTTTTATGCACATAAATGATGAAGCCTTTCAGTTTCGTTATATAAAAGGAAAAAAATGTCTCCTGAAATTGCGTTCCTTCGTTAGTATGTATGTATTGTTTTTTTTGTTGCGAAAGTAGAAGAGAATTTCACGTGCAATACTCTAATATAATTAGCTATACATAAATCTGCCATCAGGTGGCCAACCATAGCCCTCACATTCCCTGTGTTCTGTACGGGTTACCACTTGTTCACACTCCTATTAAAAAAAAGAATAAATTTGGTTCATATATGCATAATATGATGCACTTATGTGCATATTTGCCTGAGCTGTATTCATCTTCAATATATATAGTAGTGCACAAAAACACAGGCACTTATCCAAATAAATTTGACTAAGAACTATTCGAGTATGTATCTCACTGAAAAAAGAGCACACTTGCATTGGCTTGAAATAAATGTACTATGTTGCAGTGCTCCCTGATGCGGATAATCTTACTCTGGTTGATATTGGGCCTGATTACTTCACCGTGTCCTGGATGCGTCCCATGGCCCAGTTTGACTATTACTGGTTGGAAGTTTACCAAATGGATGACGGAAGCGGTACTCTTACACCTCAACGCGTGGGATTGTGCGCCAATGGAACTATCGTTCACCGAGACCAAACTCAATTTACCTGCGACATGTTTAAACCATGCAGCAATGTGACCATCACACTGCACACGCAAGCAAAGGGCACTTCTGAACTCAGGTCTCCTGGAGCGACGCTACAAGGAATATTCATGCCTGGGAAAGGTATAGTGAGTTTTCTTCTAGCAGCAAGACCATAAGATGTAGAACATGACATGCATGACATATATGTCATGATTTTCTCCTGATGGCTAGACAGGTATGCTCATCGTAGAGTCTTGTTATACCATAGAAATTTTGGTATCGACAGCATTATCGAGACGGCCAGGAGTGCTAAATGCTGTAAGCCGCTAGACAGACAGACAGACAGACAGACAGACAGACAGACAGACAGACAGACAGACAGACAGACAGACAGACAGACAGACAGACAGACAGACAGACAGACAGACAGACAGACAGACAGACAGACAGACAGACAGACAGACAGACAGACAGACAGACAGACAGACAGACAGACAGACAGATACGCTCAAGGTCACCGAGGCTCACTGAGAAATGCTTCGCATGTAAAACACATAGGACGCATCTTGCCACATTCGCATGCCCCACCATTTTTGTATGTCTAGAAACTCTCAATCAGCTGTGGCTTACGCCCGCATACCACGGCTTGTGGTTGGCGGGTATGTGGCGCACGTGTCTAGAGGAAGGCGTTTGACGATATGCGTGGTGCGACTTTCACGTTATTGATGTAGTAACCAGCTAAACCTATTCGTCACACACTAGTGCCCTATCGTATTATTTAGAATATCTACACTAACTTGAGGAGGCACGAGAACGCATAGACGTAATCTGCTAGATAGATACGCACGCAGAAGTTCTCAATGTGCCTGCAGAATGCTCAGAATGGCTTCAGACTTAAATCTCACGAAACGCTAATCCTACTAAGACTGTGTCTGCAGGGAAGATAACATAAACTGAAAACAATTACCTTGGAAGTAACGCTTTTCATACTTTTGTATTCGTAAATGCCTTAGAAATTTCAACAAAATAATTTCTTTGCTGTTAGGTTTGTGGTTAAAAAGAAACTACACATGAAAAGTGACTGCTAAACACTATGTGGTAATGGACAACTGGAGAGTCGTTTTATTTTTGGCGTGACGCAGGTATACCCGAAGTAGTGAAGCTCAAGCAGACAGCCATTAC